AGTCACTTTTCTCGCTCCCGCAGCTCGCTCGCTTCCAGAATCTCCTCTTTCAAGTGCTCCTTTTTCAAGACAAGCGTCAGCCAACACCAAAACAACAATGACTTCCAGCCACTACAAGATGACGGGAAAGACGGTGCAAAAGTGGAGGAAAACTCCCGCCTGCGGGGAGCCGATCAAGGATGGCCTCTTTCTCGCCTTCAAGACGCCCTACGACAACACAAACATCAACGAGGATGACCACTTCACAGTGGAAATTGTCTATGATCTGTTTCATCTCAAGGAGGTTTGGCTGAAGGGTTTCTCTAAAGTTGACTAACTTTGTAATTTAAACAAAATGCATTTCTTCTTTGCCAGGTTGATGTTGGCCTGGTGATTGATCTGACCAAGACTGATCGTTACTACGACAAGACCAAGCTAGAGAAGCGAAAGATAGAGCACTTCAAGTTGCCGTGTAGAGGGTAAGGAAAACATAGTGTTTCTGCAGTGATTTTATGGTTTTTCATTCACTTTCACTGTCAGATTTGATGAGCCTCCCACTCCTGAGGAGACGGCCACTTTCATCGCCAAGTGCAAGGCATTTCGCCAGAAGAACCCGACGAAGTGCATCGGCGTTCACTGCACCAACGGCCTCAATCGTACGGGCTTTCTGATCTGCGCCTACCTGGCTGAAGAGCTGAAGATGAACATTCACGACGCAATTGACCTCTTCAAGACCTGTCGTCCGCCTGGAATTGAAAAGGAATTTGACAAGGAAGAGCTGGTACGTCGATACGGTGATCCTGATCTCGCAGAGGAGATCTCCAAAAAGCTAAGCACTCTCAACGTCGATGAGAATGATAACGAGAAGGAATCTAACAAAAGTAAAGTCAACTTGAAAGCTTAATTTAAGTACGATCACCGTTTTTCATTCCAAAAATTTCAAAACCTAGCTTATCAATGTATTTTTTTGAAAAGTTGATATTTGTTAAGACATTGATTAAGCAAAACATTATAAAATTTGAGCCTTCAGATGCGTTTCCTTAATTTTGGTGATTAGAAGTTATTTTTTGTCTGTTTATTGTCTACAGTTTGCTTTTGTTCCCGTCTTGATAAAGGAAAATTTTTTATCAACATCATAAAAAACTTTAAAGTAGCATTGAAATGATTTTTTATTTTATTGCAAAATTATGTACAATGACCAAAGAAAAGTAGAATAGTTTCAATTGAAATAATAAGATAGATAGATTGATCAGCAAAAAGAGAATGATTTGCATAGAAGCGGATGGAGGTGGTGATGGAGGTTAATCTGTGAAGCTAGAAAGGGAAGAGAAAGAAAGAAAATTGCAGCATTGAGAGGAAGAGGTGTGAGCTTCGACAAATTAAGTAATAGTAATTGAATTAAATAATAATAATTAAATCTATCAAAGATAAAACTATCGCACAGAAGAAAGGGAATTGGGCAGGGCGTTTCAGTGGTGTCGAAGGAGTTGAAGGAGATGGTGGTGGTGGTGGTGGTAGCCGGTCACCAGTGGCAAAACTGTACAAACACAGACAACAAGAAAGCAAACATCGGTGGTGTGAGCCNCACAGAAGAAAGGGAATTGGGCAGGGCGTTTCAGTGGTGTCGAAGGAGTTGAAGGAGATGGTGGTGGTGGTGGTGGTAGCCGGTCACCAGTGGCAAAACTGTACAAACACAGACAACAAGAAAGCAAACATCGGTGGTGTGAGCCAATGGAGATTCCGACAATTCACCACCACCACCACTACCAACATTTTGTACATCAAGCGCCACATTTTTTGAACAAAGGCAAGGGAAAAGGAAAAAGAAGAAAGTATTAAAGTAGAAGGACGCTTTGGAGTCAACCATTTGGCTGGCTGACCGGTTTTGGGTTTGGGTTGCACTTGTAGGGTAAGCTCGCTTCGAGTGGGAGGGTTGACAGTTGCAGGAAACCTGCCAGTTTTGATGTTATTGATGTTCTTTTCAAGAGATGATTTCCCTCGTCTCCGCCAGTGCGGCAATCAGCTCAGAGTTGGAATCGCAGTTGTTGTTGTGGTGGGCGTTGTGAAGTTGTTGCTGATGGTGGTGGAGGTGGGGGTGGAGGTGTTGGTGGCTGTTGTGGCTGAGGACTAAACCGCCCGGACTGCCGGCTCCAGAGTGCCTCGGGTCGTCGGGGTGTGCTTCCATATCGTTGATTATGCCACCACTAAACTGTCCACTGTTGCCAGCAAGGCCGTACCCCGGATGACCGGCCAGTCCTGCAGAGTAGAGCGCCGCAGTGTCTGCAAAGGCGTTGCCACCACCACCACCACCACCACTACCGTCAGGCATTGCCATCACATGCTGTCCGTAGTACTGCTGCATTTCAGCGGAAGTTGTGTGTCCGTAAGGACTGCCGCCCGGGTTGTTGTACAGACTGTGGGCACCTAGGTCCTCTACCTTCATCATCATCGGGTAGCCGTGGTGGTGAGNACCACCACCACCACCACCACTACCGTCAGGCATTGCCATCACATGCTGTCCGTAGTACTGCTGCATCTCAGCGGAAGTTGTGTGTCCGTAAGGACTGCCGCCCGGGTTGTTGTACAGACTGTGGGCGCCTAGGTCCTCTACCTTCATCATCATCGGGTAGCCGTGGTGGTGAGGAGGAGGAAGGTGATGGGGATGATTGCCGGTGGTGGTAGGTCGACCCAGGTGGTCGTGGTACATCGTCGGACTGCTGCTCTCCGGCATTGAGCTGTTTGGCCATACACCACCACCACCACTGCCTCTTCCGTCGCCTGGAACTCGATATTGCCTTGAATCGGGTGTCATGGGCAGCTCCAGGTGCTGCTGCAGCATTGACCGACTGCTCGCCGAGCCGTCAAATTGCTGTTGCTGATGTTGTTGATCCATTTGGCCCTGCTGTTTCCCGGTTTGCCCTCCCATCAGGTAGGCCGCCGAGGCTGCGGCATTTGCCGATCGCTGCATCTCCTCAATCGATTCCCGACTTTGCATTCGATAGGCATACGGCGGACAGACATTGCGCAGAAAGGTCGAAGAGCCGCTGAAACGGTTCACCAGCTCACTGAACGGATTCTCCTGTGGGCTCTTCAGGCTTTGACTGTTGTTGCTGCTGCTGTTGGGCGGAGAGGAGCCGAGAAGGAGCTGCTCATCCTGATGCTCACTCTTTATTTTGTACTGAGATGAGTACTGTTGTTGCTGCTGAAAAGCCATTGCTGCTGCATTGTACATCTGGGAATGCATGCTCTCAGCGAGGCCATTGTGATGCTGCTGCTGCTGTTTGTGGAGCAGTTGTCCGTAGTACTGCTGGCTCAGTGCTGGATCATTCTGACCGGATGCTGCTGCTGCTGCAGCAGCTGCAGCCGCCGCCTTCTCATTTGCCTCTACCGGTGACATTTCCGGTGTGGGCAGTGACTTGATGGTGTCACGAAGACTGCTCGAAGAGCTCGATGAGCCATTGTTCTTTTTACTATTGCCGTTGTTGTTGCTTCCCACCGAAGTCATTTCTATTCCGGGAGAGCCCACGGTGGTGGTGTTGGTGGGCGTGGCGTAGTTTTGATTGTAGAAAGCACGTGGTGAGCTGCTGTAGCGGTACAGGTCGGCTGCGGAGGTGTTGTTGTTGTTGCTGCTGCCATTGCCATTGCCTCTCATCTCAGCGAGTGGACTGCCATGAGGCGATGACTCGGGCGTCTGCACGCCGCAGTAGTCCAAACTGGGCGAGCTGATGGAGGAGTTGTCGGCGGCCATCTCGTGAACGCCATTGGGGCCCCCGCTAAGAGTGTTGCCGGCATTCGGGTAGACGGATATTGCCTCATCGGTGGGCGTGCCGTTACGACCACCACCGCCTGTATTTGTCGTTTTGGTGGTTCGCTTGCTGTTCTTTCTCCGCCGTGGTCTGTACTTGTAGTTGGGATGATCCTAGAGAGCAAGAAATGATGGAGTGATGATTAGTTGCCGGTTAGCTGCCTTAATAAATATAATGTTTGGTGTGTGTGTCATTAACGACACTTACCTGCATGTGCTGTACTCGCAGGCGTTCAGCCTCTTCGACGAACGGTCGTCGTTCCTGGTGAGAGAGCGACTTCCACCGCTTTCCTGTAATCAAAGAAGGTAAAAGAGGAAAAGAAGAGCAGTTAGCGGATTGTGATCATTCTTTAGACGGGCAACGTCTGGATCAGCGGGCAGGGCACACTCAAATACACTGAAAGGGCACACTGCTGCATCAGGTATCAAAGAGCATCAAGAGCGTCAAGTCCATCATCGGCAGCGGCACACCACACTCATTTACCAGAGAGAAAAGGAAAAAGCAAGAAAGAAAGAGAGAGACCAATTTAGCTTTCAGTGGCAGTCATGATAAGACTCCTCATAATATTAATTCGCCTCTATGAATATGAACTGGCCTCTAATGACACTCAAATTGCTAATGATTTCGCAGTCAAAGAAGACCTTCTTCTTTTTCTCCGTTGAAAACAGCAGGCTCATTAGGCTGCGGACGGCGCGTCAGGCAGAGGCTGAGCGAGCTGAGCTGAGCAGTGGTGGCGATGGTGAAAACCAGGCGCCAGGGCGAAGTGCAGAATCGCAGAGCAAGCCTACGATGATTGTGTTGAGAGAAAGAAAGAAAGAAAGAGACTCTGGAGCTTAGGCGACGTCTCTACTTCTACCAGCAGCAGCAGCATCACTTCTTCGACACGCAGCTCGTGTCCACGAAAGACCACTGCACGACCGAACCAACCGCTGCACAGCCTCACTGACCACCATCCGACAGTCACCATCCTTGCCATCCTCAGTGGCGCTGACATGCAAATGAGCAGTGCACGAGTTGGACACTGCGACAGCCACCACCACCACCACCGCCACCACTACCGCTAATGATGATTATCGTCTCATGCTTTCTCATTTACACCCGAGAACACGGCAGCAGCAACAGCAGCCAAAGTGAGTCCTCTTCAGTGCAGCATCGGCGCATCCTATCGCATTGACTAATGGTCTGCACCGGTGATGGTGCTGGTGGTGGAGAGGAGGAACTGAAGATGAAAAGAGAGGAGATGGGATGGGATGCTGACGATAGGGATGGTAGTAGTGGTCAGTTGTCAGTGGACGATGCCGCGCGCGGTCACCACCACCGCCAGACAAAGTGGTCGCAATTAATGGCAACCGAAAGATGGTCAAACAATTATCGATGCTGATGTNGTAGTAGTGGTCAGTTGTCAGTGGACGATGCCGCGCGCGGTCACCATCACCGCCAGACAAAGTGGTCGCAATTAATGGCAACCGAAAGATGGTCAAACAATTATCGATGCTGATGCGGTCAGAGGAAGAGGGAAGGAAGGGAAAGATAGGGACCGGACGTTCCTCCTCAAAGTAGATCAAAGAGGCGATATAGATATGACGCCGTCAGTGCCGCTTTAGCTGATGACACCGCNTGGTCAGAGGAAGAGGGAAGGAAGGGAAAGATGGGGACCGGACGTTCCTCCTCAAAGTAGATCAAAGAGGCGATATAGATATGACGCCGTCAGTGCCGCTTCAGCTGATGACGCCGTNAAAGATAGGGACCGGACGTTCCTCCTCAAAGTAGATCAAAGAGGCGATATAGATATGACGCCGTCAGTGCCGCTTTAGCTGATGACACCGCTGTCGTTGCTGCTGCTCCAGCAGTCAGTTTGCTATCACTCGCTGTTGACCGCATCAGCAGCAGCAGACGCTCTGGTTGTCTCCAGCAAGGCATCATTGTAATCTCAGTGCTCTATCAATTAGTGCATCAGCATCAGCATCGTCATCATCAGCAGTAGACAACAAAACACTGCGCAGTAAAGCGATCGATGGCACTGACTGCCTAAATGGACGACGGCTGCTGCCTGATCGGCAGCACTCATCTGCACTGACGGGTCCAGCAGCAGCAACAGCAGTACTGACTGACAGCGGGCAATGATATCATTACCGACGGGCGGACAGTTGCGAGCTTATCCATTAGGCAATTGGCAATCGAGCGGTCCAATTTGCCATTGTCACACACACACACTGGCACACAGTCAGGTGGATGAGGCACTCGTCCTGTGTGTGTGTGTTCCTGCGTGCATTGAACATTCCTCTGAAGTGAAGTGAAGCTTTGACTTCCACNTTAGGCAATTGGCAATCGAGCGGTCCAATTTGCCATTGTCACACACACACTGGCACACAGTCAGGTGGATGAGGCACTCGTCCTGTGTGTGTGTTCCTGCGTGCATTGAACATTCCTCCAAAGTGAAGTGAAGCTTTGACTTCCACCTCTTCAGCGTCGGTATCTCCGCGCCCAGCCGCGCAGTGGTTGCCTAATGACAGGATGGCGCGCACGGCACTGGCCAATTGGATTAGTGCCCAGGAGAAGAGTACTCCTGCTGAAGATGAAGAAGAAGAAGAAGAAGAGTGCACTGATTATGGTCGTCGCTGTCACCCGACGAGCTGTGCAAATGTGCAATTTAACTGTCGACCACGAAAGCTCTCTTTCTCTTTTTCTAAACGGAGATAAGTTGAGTTGAGCAGAGGCTCAAANCGACGAGCTGTGCAAATGTGCAATTTAACTGTCGACCACGAAAGCTCTCTCTTCTTCTAAACGGAGCTAAGTTGAGTTGAGCAGAGGCTCAAGNGAAGAAGAAGAGTGCACTGATTATGGTCGTCGCTGTCACCCGACGAGCTGTGCAAATGTGCAATTTAACTGTCGACCACGAAAGCTCTCTTTCTCTTTTTCTAAACGGAGATAAGTTGAGTTGAGCAGAGGCTCAAACAGTCAATACACTAAAGCATTTGAGTTAGAGGTACTAGTTTTCCAGTTTATCTGCTTTTCCTGTTGCCAATGAATACGATGTTTAAACAAAGCACATACAGCACAATATTTGGACCAATTTTAGAATAAAGCTCATTTTCAAGCAAACACACTCACTAAATGACCAGCACCAGTTGCAGTCATACACATCAACACTTTATCTAAACTAATTAAGAAGCTTCCTCAGCCTTTCTGAAAAAGTGGTTGCTGACTACTAAAATGATGATGGTGCTGGTGTCGGCGAGGGCACCCGACGTTCTGTCCTTCCTTCCTTCTAACCAAATGCTACTGAGTGAGTATGTGAATCGGCAGGGAATCGATTTGTGTCGCCTGCCTGCCTGCCTACCTGTTCGTATCGGCTGCGCGCTTAGACGGCGTGCTTGGCGCCTTATCTCAATGACAGTCGATTCGATTCAGATTAGACGGCAGGCAGAGCACCACCGCTTCCATCGCTTCCACCTTCAGTGCTGAGTGCGGTGACAATGCCTTTCTCTCTTTCCATTTCTGGCTCGGTAATGGCCTAATGTTGCGGTAGCAAGCAAACAAAAATGGTCGGCGAATGCCTCCTTTTCCTCCTCTTCTGTTGCTACTGCTTTGTCTTTTTCTGGCGCGCATTTGGGCCATCAAGACAAAGATCAACGTAGCAGCAGCAGCACTGATGGCGTGTCGATCAGCATCGCCACATATGACCAATGTGGCCGGACATCGATGCAGCTCGAGGTGGATGGTGCCCCGGCAAAGTGTCCCCTCATCAACCACCACTCGATGGCAATCGTCAGCAGTGTTTCGACGGCAATCGGCGGCCACAGCACAGTTGTTTTGTTCCTCAGTGCACATCAGCTGCTGCCAATGCTGCAACTGCTAAGCCTCAGTTTGTTTGTCGTTGTTCAGTGGCCGGTAGTGAGACAGAGAAGCAGAGACAATCGATCGCGCCACCATCGCCGCCGCCATCAGCACTGAAACGCCGAGTCTTTCTTTCCCTCTGTGTATGTGTGACAGACTTATGCGCAAGAAAGTTTTTTTCTCATGCATCCGAAACCATCTCAATGTTCAGCTTTGGGTGTGAATGCTACTGAAGTTAGAGTTTGAGTCGCTGAAGTCTGAATCTCTTTTTCTCTTTCTTTTTCTCTGTCTGGCACAACTCACTTTGCTCTCGTATCGCGTAATGAATCACACACAAATTAATTTGTCTTGTCACAGCAGCAGCAGCAGCAGTCGGCGTAACGGTTGTTTTTTGTTGCTGCTGCACAGATAAAGCAAAGATCAACGGGGAACAGAGGGATGAGGCGAGGCTAAGGTTGTTGCGGCGACACTAGACACTCACTTGTCATCTGTTGCTGTTGGTGGAGGATTTGCTGATCCTGCACAGCTCAAGTTGAAAATGAAGCTGTGACACTCGGCGCATCACTCAGACGCTCACACGTGCAGAAAAAAGAGCAGTATGAGCAGGAGTGAGCAATCCAATTGCCAATTGGAGCCATCAGCTCAGAGCAAGAGCACAGTGTTGGAGGTGGTGGTGGTGGGCGCGAGCACTGCACTGTCATTCAGCGTAGTCAATTGCCGGCAAATGTTAAGTTAAGCACAGCACTGTTGCAATCTTGTAATCGACGCCGGAGCACTAAACGCTGCTGTCACCGGACACCGGGCGCCAGCAAGCAGCTCTCCCACTGTTTGTCTCTGCCCGCCAGTTCAGTTCACAGCATCCACCTCCAGACTAAATGTTTTCAAGCACACACACTCAACTAGCGGATTCAGTGCTCTCCTCGCTGAACGGTCTTATCAGATGCCGGCAAGTGCAGCAGTTTGTTGTTGGTCTGAGCAGAGACAGAGATTGAGTCGAAGCTGCACAGAAATTGCCGCACTATCGTCATCTTCGTAGTGGTGGATGCATCCAAAACTGAGTCAAATATAATCAACTCTAATTAAGTTAATTAAGCTTTCTTAGGCGGAGAAAAAAAGAGAGGACCGAGTAGCCGAGTAGATGAACACTGAACACTGAGGAGGCACCCGAAAAGAGCAGCTGAACAGTAGCATCAGCAGTGACATCAGCAGTGGCATCAAATGGCGGCATCAACGGCGCCTGCGACAGCCAACTCGGTGCGACAGAAAGAGCGAGTCGCATATAAAATTTCTCACGCCGTCCTTGATTGTTTTGACACGAATTTATAGCGAGCGAGCAAGGAAAGAAGGAAGGAAAGAAGGAACTGCGCACACTGAGT